GACGAGCGGGGTTTTCACCATATAATGAATCCCCCCCCCCCCCCCGCGGGTAGCCCAACCCCCGAGCCTCCCTGCACCGCACTGCACTATTACGATATTCCATCAAAGCCAGTCGATGACTTTACCATCCCTCGAGAATTCAGCAGCGGTGACGGGTTTTCCAAGCCCGTCCGCCCGTTTGGAAACGACTTCCATCAGCCCCCGTCCTTGAACCACCTGGGCCGGTGATGGGCCCGCAGGTTATTCTTTGGGTTTTCGCCGGGCATCTGTCACGGCGTACTGTACTTTTTATCCCGGCGGGTGGGATGGAACAAGATTTTGGACGGCGATAAGGTCATTAACTGACCTATGCCTATGTAGATAGTTAAGGCCGGTGGGTGAGGTTCCCGGTTGGCATGAATTCTTGAAATTCAATCGAGGTTGGATGTTACGCGGCAGGTGTCTGCTTGGTTTAAGTGAAACCGTTTCCAAGCAAAACCTTCTTTAGTGTTCTTTCGAGCAGAGTGGCGTGGAACAATCTCTGACCAAGTCATGGTTACTACTCTACATACTACATCGTGGGAGCGGAGCCTGACACGAATCCGAATCTAGATCAACTGCTTCAGCGGAAGCTAGTGGACGCCAGATAGACAAGTATGCTGCCTCCAGGATAATATATTGGATTAGGCGGTCCGTCACAATGCTCACAGAATCTCACTCGAGGATTTGAAGATCCGTGTGCAATTGTCACTTGTACTGTAGCATTTCCTATCATACTTCAACTGCCGGGAGGATTTGTTTTGGGGCGGCGCTAATACCGTAGTGTGTTCTGCTCCAGGACGTGACTGGAAGATCTAGGTACAAGTACTAACTCCCGCAGATACTTACAGGATATAAACTGAGAGGGATGCCAACACATTTCCCTTCTCTCACTCTTCACACCCCGCCTTCCTTGAATATTATTGGGAACAGCTGTCCTAGATCAAACATCCAAAAAGAAGATTTAACCCATTCAACCCCACTCCCACCCATCCTAAGCATGCAAAAGAAGCAATGATATAATATATGAATTTCTATTTCTTTCCTCCCTTCTTTGGGTGTCTGCCCCCTCCTCCACTAGGCTTGCTCTTCATACTCCCTTCAAAGCCGGGTCGGGCACCCTTCTTCTTTTTCTTCATTTGCATCTTCTTGCCTAGCTTTCCGGCCTTCTTCTGTTCTCTTCTTGCGGCAAGGTTGTCTTCGCGCCTCTTTTGCTTCGTGGCTTTGGATTTCGCGACATTTTCGATGCGTTCTTTCCTGTTTGTCCCTTAGTATGTTAGATCGTAAGAGCAAAAGGGTGATAGGACGAACCATTCACGCTCAGACTTTCTCTTAACCTGCTCCTGCCGTTTAAGCGACTTCTTCAGTAGCTGCTCATTGTTGCGAACTTTTTCCCCAGAAGCTTGCTTAAGCGCTTTACTCCAGAGTTCCTTCTCCTCGACCTTTGCCTGCTTTTCCGGAGCCATAGTTTGTATACGAGCTTTCTTCGCCTCAACATGCTTCAATTGCCCGAGGGTATCAGTGGGTCCCTTCGATTTTCGGGCTTTCTTAAAGTCTGTAAGGGCAGCATCGAGTTCCTGTCCGTCGTCAAATGTGACAGCGCTGAAGGAGAAGTTGTTGACGAGACCCTTTTTCAGCTGCTCCTGTCGTGATGGAGGAGTCCCTCCTTTACCATCAGCTGACCCTGCTACTACAGCTTGTGCCTCCTTGCGTTTTGCTTCCTCCACAGCTTTGGCTTCTAGACGTTGTTGCTTCTTTCGCTCCTTTCTGGCCTGTTCCTTTTTCCGCCGGATTTCCATTAGCTCCTGGCGGTTCTTTGCTCCAGTCCCGTCGGCAGCTTGCCGCCGTGCACGTAGTTCTTCGATGCGCGCTACGAGGAGGGCACGTTTCTCGGCTCTTAATACGGCATCAAGTTCGACTTCAGACGCTCTTGCAGATGCTAACTCGCCAGTATCCGGGGAGGTGATGGCGGTCGACTGAGAATGTGGAGTGGAGTCCCCGGAATCCATCTGCACATCAACGTCACTTCCCGACTCGTTACCTGTTGTCTCGTATCCAACCCCTGACAGTGTCGGATTAGATGATCGATTTGCATTTGACTGAATCTCCGAAGCTAGTGTAGCTTTAGCAACAGCGGTCTTCGAAACCTCCCTAACCTCTATCTCGCCACCCCTTCTAGGCCCGATACTCTGAACGACAACCTTCGGCTTCTTCTCCCGTTTTTTCCTCGGCATCTTAGTTTTTTTCCGAGTCTCATCCCCTCCCTCAGTCTTCTCATCACTTTGTTCCACCTTCGCCGGCGCCCCCTCCACTGTTGATCCAGAATCTAACTTAGCCTTTTTGGCCTTCTTTAACTCCTCCTTTGTCTGCTTCCTCTTCAAGTGTGACGACTATCACAACCATCCGACCAGAAATATTAGATTAAGTGATGGACTAGAAAGAGCACAGTCGCAAACTCACATCTCCTGTATTCTCCGGTACTAGCGAAAGAAGACCTTCAAATGAATTGCTGTAGCCACGTATACGCTCCTAAAACATGATCCACCGAATCGATATTAGTGTCCACAGAGATTTTTTTTCCCCTGCGGGAAAAAATGCACATACTTCAATGTCCGCCATTGTAGATTAAACCAGCGACTCTCTGCAACAATATGATACCGGGAAGCGTATGTTGATTATGAGGCTAGAGAATCGGGGGGTGATTGTTGATAAAAAAGTTATGGGCCCAGTCGGTTGGAGGGGGTTTGAAAGATGGGAAGAAGAAAAGAAACATCTCAATTTGATGGAGGTTCACAGTGCGTGCCAAGACTTTGGATTTTTATGAATTCTTGGCAGGAAGGAATGCGGTTCTGTGGGGTAAATTTACCCACGCTGTAGGTAAGGTTCATGGTTACCAATTACTAAAGACATTTCAATAAGATGCTAGATGCCGGCACTAACAAACAGGCAATTCCTAATATCATAGGTGATAAACCCATACCCCTAGATATCTCGTTATTCAGGCTTGCAAGTTTATTCCGCGAACAATCGACAGCCAGAACACCCCCCCCACCAACCATCTCTTCCCCTATGCACCCACCATCCAAACATTTCTCAACCCCAATCGTTTGTACAACACCCAAATCTAACTTATAATACAAAGGTATCCCAAACCCAATTATGCAGCTGGCGGCTTTTTGGGGGGCTCAGGAGACAGGTCCCCAAGTACTTCTCGGCGCGCCTCGTGTATAGGATCAACAATTGGCGGACCCTTGCACTTCTTCTTCCCCTTCTTCAACCTCCTGCCTGGAAGGGCATCCTATAAGGCAATTAGAACACGTCTTCACTCCCAAGAAAGTCAAAATCAATCGTACTGACCTTCGAACCAAGTGGTTGGTAGGCCGGCCCTTTATCGGAAAGGTCTATATCGGGGTCGGTCGCAGCAATCTTCTGAGCCTCTTGCCAGACATAATATCGCTCCGTAAGGACATGCTTAATAGCCCGCTGCGTAACCCGAATCTACTCCCCCGAGCCATGAGCCAATACCATCCCCCCAAGATCCCAAAGTGAACAATTGATTCCAACATACCTGCCCATATCTCGTATTCGACTCGAATTCGCCATATCCCGGTTGCAGCCTCTGCCTCTCAATTTTTTGAGTCTCCATGATATTCCTCTCTTTAACACACACCCACCAAAGCTTCTGCAAGTCCTCCCAGCTCTTCCGTCGTAATTCTGCCGCCGTCCACGGTCGTCCTATCCTCAGTCAGCGCCAATTGGCCCCACAGCTCCCCGCATCCAACAGTGTGAGCGGGGCAGGACAGAACAAACCATGCTTATGGTCCTCTTCCGGTGTCGGCAATGCCTTCTTCTCGCGAAAGAATCCCCAAAGGCCGTGGTCAGGATTGACCTTCACAGGCGTTCGCTTAGAGGCGTCTAGGACCGGTTCTGGGAGTGGAACATTGGAAACGGATATCTGAATGCCCTTCTTCGGCTGGCGGTGGATCGCGGAGACACCACGGTTTTTGTTGCGGTCACGGACCCAGCGGGCGAGTGGGGCGGCGGTTGTGTGGAATTGACAGGAGGAAGATGCGCGGATGACCAGTAATACGTTCTTCCGGAGAGCTGTAGCTGGCCTGGCCAAGGAGTGGGATGACATTTTGGGGTGGGGAAGGCGGGGTCGGTTTTCGGGATCGCGGGAGCGCTGAACGTTTGGCGGCTGCAAAAAAAAGTTAGGAGCTTTGTTGAGTGGCTTGGCGGAGTTTTCATTCATGGAAAATCACTCGTGGAAATTGTTTTTGGATAGGACTTTTAATAGTCTTACGGCTAGCCGTCCGCAGAGGGGGCTAAGCGTTAAATCGGCATGTCTCATAGAAGGGCGTGATACAATATACTGAATTAGCTCTCATGGGGGAGAAAGGCAACAAGTGGATGATGGTTCCTCTATGAGGTCCGAACCCCATCTCTATTAGTGTGGTCCTTATACCGTCCTACTGGCGTCTCATCACGGACCAGACTGCGAGAATCGAAGAAAAAAACCTGACCCACAAAATCCAATCCGATCAAACTGAGAGAAAAGAACTTAGCAGAGTAGGGCATGATATTGTGTTTGTAGGTTGTGTCCATACCCACACGTGTATAATGTATGATATGATAATATTATGTAGTCGTAGTTAGCATTCTATAGGGTGACTAGTTGGCTATTGTTTGGAGTATTTGGGGGAGGTGTAAAGCGGGTGTTTTCCGGCACCCCCCCTCCGGCAGGCAGCATCAGTGTCACGAGCACGGCGACTACAAAATTTAATAATTTTATTTCGCTCTTTTTACTATGTGAGCCTCGATAACTTGTGCGAATACGTTTCAATTATGAGAGTTTGACTAAACACAAGCTCACCAGCTGCCAGCTCACGTACAGTACCATACGGTGCCACGACGGCCCTAGTTGTGCACTCTTTAGCTTACCAAATTATGTACAGTACTGTACTGCTTATCGAAAAACATGACCCGGCATCTGGGAACGAATCAAATTAGCACTTTTTCTTGCATCTACACTAACCCCAACAACATGGGAACAAAGATGCATCTCTAGTATGCCGGGGCGAATTGAAGGAAGTAAGGGAGATACGAACGAGAGGAGAAAAACAGAACAAACGGATATTTCGGACCTGGTTATAAAGACAAAAGAAAGCTTCTGTACGTGCTATCTTAGGAATATTGTCCTCAGCTTGGGGGGTGGGAGGAGAGGCGATGGTAAGAGACGGAAGGGGAAGATGCAGGACAGGGGAAGACTGAGGACAACCGGAGTGAGATTTCGCGATTGCGGTCCCCCCTATATTCATTCCGAGAAAATGGACAAACGAGTGGAATGAACGAGCGCGATAGGGATCTCGGGTTTTGAATTTACGAAACTGCTTTCCTCTAGGGAGTAAATTTTTGGGTTCTATTTGCTGGCTCAAATATCAATGATTCTAGGTGCATGCCTCAATCCATGAGAGGCTGTACCTAAATAGTAATCATATGATTCTAAAGCATTTATTGAGAGGGGGTAGATATGATAAGTCCAGGGGAAGGTATGTTCTTACAAACGATGGATAAATAAAGTAGTGTGCCACTATGAGGGATATAATTTAGTTGCGTAAGGTAGGAGATCTCTGAAGGTAGATCTTGAGTGTTATGGTTTACTATATCATATCAGGGGTGATAGTCTAGCCAATCCTATTTTGAAAACAAACCCGCACCATTGGGAACGCTAGCTTCCGCAGGATTACCGAATTGTCAGGAGCAGGGTGTCATTGGGTTAAATACCTCGGACCAGCTATGATACAATCGAACAAATTATCTCCCGATCCCTTGAGGCCTTGAAAGGGTGTATGCTAGTCAATTGCTACTATCCTACCCCCACCGCCCACGCACCTTACCCCCCTTTGGGAACCTCCAATTCAATCCTTCGCTAGATTCCATAAACTCTTAGAACCTAACTAACCAAAGCATTGTTTCCGCGCTGGGTCTGGTATACCCTCACTTTTCATGCTCAGTTCACTCCCCAGTTACCTCTCTCGCCATCTGCCTTATGGTAGCAACATTCTTCCATTAACCATCTCGCTCGGTGCCCTCCACTATCTCATGTTATTTGTCAATTTGCCCATACTGTCCCCCGGAAAGGCCCACAGGTAGCAAGCTACGAAATAAGGCATCTAAGGAGCGGGAGCGCCAGTGTGAAAACCGTGTCCTGAGACCACTGAGAATAGGTTAGCTTGCTGATAGAAGAACATGGGGTTTCTGCAAAAACAATAGCGAAACAAAACTACTCGCCCATGACCTCTTTCGGGTCGGCCATTTAGATTCTAGCATCCCTTCCACCCTCTCCGCTTTCTTTATTCTGCATATCACGCACAAACCGCCTTACATGTGTTCAAGTGCCTGTTTAACATTGATCTCGTCACACTAACTAGTAGAATTCACCACATCTGGCAACAACAAATCCATTTTCACTTCAGCACACAATTATCATTTCTACTTGACCTCCTCCACTTATCACTATCACTAATAATCAAGCAAGTATGGTAACATTGGCAAAAAGCCTTGCTGTGAACAGCCATCTCTTTCCCATAATAAGCATCTTCCATCCCATAATATAGTAAGTACAAAAGAATACCCAAAATAGGTACTTCGCAGCCTCGAAGTGCCAACATTCCTGCATGGTTAAATAATTTAGCAACACATGGTAAGTCAAAACTAAATTCCCTTTTAAGCATTATGACCAAGGACATTTACTCCATGCCCTACAAGTTGGCTCACATCTCTTCATGAGCATTCCACCCTCCCAATCAATAAATAAAGTGGTAGATTACTATCCCACCAAAGTCATTATATCTATCTTTCATATTATCAATACCCAGGATGGAGTCAATTATGTTTAACTTGCAGCTTAAATACAATAGCTAACCAAAAAAAAAAAAAACCAGAAATATCTAAATGAGGAGTTGCAGGAATACATAATTCTTTTGTCCAAGTATAATATCCTACTATAGCAAGAACAAAAATCCAAGTTCCCCTGTTGGAAAGAATATCAGGTTACAGTCTCTCCCAAACTCTTTGATTCATTACTTGTAGGAAATGTCCAGAATAAAAGTTACCAGGAGCATTCTTGATACAAGTCACGAGACCCATCTGTGGGAAATAAGTATAAAATCAACTACTCTTCTATTGCATCATACCTTTCTTACCAAGGCCAAACTATATTTTTTCTACTCACGTGTCCACCTATATTTCTATCCTATTTATCTTTATAGATTTTATTCTTGTTTGTATTATTAAATGCCCTCCCACCTACCCAACTTTATTTCCATTTCACCTATTCTTATATGTTTTTCTTCTATTGAATTAGTAAATGCCCTTCCACCTACCCAACTTTATTTCCATCCCACCCATTCGTATATGTTTTTCTTCTATTGAATTAGTAAATGCCCTCCCACCTACCCACCTATAATCTCATCCCACCTGTTTTTAGAATTTTTATTTCCATTTGTATTAGTATATGTCCTCCTACCAACCCACCTATAATTCTATTACAACTATTTTCATAATTTTTATTCCTATTTGTACTATTACTATATACCCTTCCACCAACCCACCTATATTTCCATCCCTCTGATACTTTGTTGTTTAGAATATTGTATGTAGTATTATATTGTATCAGTGTAGTGATATGTGTATTATTTTATGTAATGTTTTGCAATATTGTATGTATGAGGAGAAAGATTTAATGAAATTTATAAGGAAAAAGGATGAGAAGGGAGGGGGTGATGAATCCCTTTATATATAGGTCTCCCTCAGAAATGCCAAGCCAGGTAGGTAAGAAAATAGAATTCTCTCAACCACACTCCCCTCCTCTTTCATACCAAAAATAAATAAATACTATTGGAGCAGTAAAAGTATATGGTTTAGTATTTGATACAAGCAAAGTTTAAAAATGTACGATCCGATCACCTGATAGAGGTCTCTCATCCCACTCCAACTCTGAATGGGGGAAGGGAGTAAACAATACAAGGGGATTCATGACACCCTACGCATATCGATCACCATACGGTATCGTACCCATCTTACTATGCAGTCCTTGTTATACCCACTACTCGAGTAAACTACCGTATACGAGCACGATAAGCGCCCAATCCCCCGCCCACCCCTCCATTCCCACTCCCAATCCCAACCAGGAAATTGAATTACGAAGGAACCTGTAAGTTAGTCGAGTGCGGGCAGCTCAGTGAGATACCGGTACCGGTACTGTACTCGAGTATGTCTACCCCTTCCGAAAACAGGCATGCATGCATCCTTGCTTATCATTCCAGGGAATAATCCCCATAGAGACACCTCCACCCATGGCCCAACAATGCGACCCAGTCCAGTCCGTCCCATAAAATTGTTTCTCCCCTTCTCTTTACCCTAACAAGACAAAATAGAATAAGATCAGTGAAATATCTTGCAACCAGAATTACTACCTATTTTTTTAGGGGGGGAAAGATGGTTGAAAGGAACAATAAACCGCCTGAACTTGATGATCGATCTACTTCTGTCTCGGAGGAAGGGGACTGTGGGGTTAGGGTTGGTGAGGACGTGGAGGCATTAACGGCGAGGGTAATAGATTCGATATCTGAGAGAGCACTATGCAGGAGGTTTGACTTAAGGTTACTACCGGTATTGGCGGTCATGTACTTGTTTAATGCGTAGGTTTCTTCTCCCCTTCCTCCGTCCCCTCCTTCGCGGGGTATGATACTGACAATGCGAGTAGCCTAGACAAAGGCAATCTAGGCAACGCCAAAACCAATGGCTTCGAGAAAGACCTAGGTTTCACGGGTAACCAGTATAACATCTTATTGTCAGTGTTCTACGTTCCCTACGTGCTCTGCGCACCACTGGTAGGAATGCTAGGAAAGATGTACGGGCCCAGCAGGGTGCTACCAATATCGATGCTTACCTTCGGGAGTATGACGTTGTTGGGGGCGGCTTGCAAGACCTTTGGGGGGATGATGACTGGTTTGTTTTTCTGGCCGCTTCTAGGAAACTAGAGTTGAAGCGCTGACGTCGTAGATTAGTGAGAGTAATATTGGGTGTTGCTGAGAGTGCTTTTTTCCCTCTGGTAGGAATTGATTAATAGATCCAAGAAGGCAAAAAATGGTGAATTCTGAAGCCAGTGGGTGAGTGATATATAGGTCATATACTACCTCACGACATTCTACAGACGTGGAGAATTAGCACGTAGACTTGCTATATTCTACGCGGCGAGTAACATTGCCAATGCTTTCAGCGGCACTTATCCCTCCACCCTCCGAATTCCTCCCTACCATACTAACGACCCTCAGGGCTCCTCGCCTTCGGCGTATTCCACATCAAAAGCCACCTCCCCGCCTGGCGCTACCTCTTCATAATCGAAGGTACCTGCACCGTTCTCTTCAGCTTCTTCGCATACTGGTACCTACCAATGAGCGCCGCAAAAGCCCATTTCCTAAGCCCCGAAGAAAAGGAACTCGCCTTCTATCGAATCCAGGTGGATAGCTCCTCCACCGTCGACGAGGAGTTCAGCCTCAGGGAGTCTATCAAGGTCTTCAAGATGCCGGTTGCGTGGGCTTGGCTGGCTATAGAAATATGTCTAGGTGTACCGCTGCAGAGTGTTAGCTTATTCTTGCCCCAGATTGTGGAGAGGTTGGGATACAGCGTTGTTAAAACGAATCTCTATACTGTTGGTACGCTCTCACTGGGACGGTGGAGAGGGGGGGGTTGAGCTGATTTTGAAGGGGGCAGCGCCGAACATTACTGGTGCGGTAATGTTGCTCGTATTGGCGTTCACTTCGGACTTCACTAGACTGCGGTCGCCGTTTATTACCCTGGGTATATCTCCTTCACAAATCACATAATGGATTTCTAACAAACCCAGCTTTCTCCTTCCCACTGGTCGGCTTCATAATCTACGCCAGCATCGACGTCCTACACGATGAGCAAACGGCCTACTTCGCAACATTCATGATGTGCTGGGGTACCTCCGCTCCCAGTGTTCTCCTATCGACATGGTGTGAGTGACGACTCATGATCTCGACCCCAGTTCCCAAAATTAATGCTCCCTCCCATAGATAACAACAACATTGCCCACGAAGGAAAACGCGTAGTCCTAACCTCCGTCGGCGTGCCCGTACGCCCCACCTTCCACCTTCTCTCCCCCCACCTCCCCTCCCACTAACACAAACCACAGGTAGCAAACATGATGGGCGTCGTGAGCTCCAATATTTTCCGTCCACAAGATGCACCAGATTACATCCGTAACTTCCCCCCCCCCTTCCATTCCCACCTCTTACCAGACTAATAACTAAATAGCGGCACTGATAACAACCGCCTGCTTCGGCGCAGTCGGCACGCTCCTAGCGGGGAGCCTGGGCACGTACATGGCTTTCGATAACAGTAGGAGGAATCGTGTACAGGGTATGGACATCGACGCGCGGGATGTGGCGACGAAGGCTCTGAAGGATGGGCCCGCGTCGCCTAATTTCAGGTGGTTCCTATAGGCCTTGAGATGAATTCATGACTCCTCCCATATGTACGGCATGGATTAGAGCCCCTTGTTCATAGCGGTTTCCACATAGGATCGGGAAAGAAGGCGAGTGCTTCCGGGTGATGGCTATTATACGGTCTTGTGGCTAAAATCAGGATGAATATGTGGCTTCAAGACTACAGTTTGTAGTAAGGCCTACAAATCATGCAGCGCCGGTCAGGGACATGGTAGAGTACCGTACTCTAGACATCAGCCAGTCGTGACCGTAACGCTGCCATAGGGGTACAGGTACCCTACTGAGAGATTTATGAGATACAAGTACACAATGTACTATGCAAGCTTCGTAGAAAAAGCGAGCAACAGCGTGCTTGTAGAGCCACTTGTAGGCTCTATGAACTGATACCTTACCTATAACGTGAAGCAGCGTGGCAAAGCACTCGGGTACTCGAGGAAAACAAGCAAAAAGTGCAAGTGCATTATGATACCCGGGCGATATTTTTCCCAATCGCCAAAACCAAGAATATATACCGGCAGTGGAGACGTTACCGGATCACTTCCCCTAGAGCAATTATTCGTGCGTCTCAGATTCACAGCATTCCTTGAGCAACTGCGTAGCAGAGTGGATGTTCGGACATAGCCCATGCTCGGGCCTTAGATGCCGGTGCCATGGTGGGAGGTTTCTCGTTGACGAAGACAAGAATTCTACACCACTGGAACCAAACACAGGTGCTGTCATATTTTCTCCCTCAATTTATCCCACAGCATACGCTTTATTATGATACTCTCTATAATATAATTTGATTTATCATATGCTGTAAGAAAAATAGCAAACTCTGCTATAATATATTAAAAAAAATAAACATGTTATCAGAACTAGGAAAATATCTGCCATCATATACCCATTAATCAGTCTGACAATATATGCTAAAACTGCTCATGTGAGCTGATTGAATACCTGATGGAACTTAAGTTCACCAAAATATTTTTTCAATATTTTATACAAGTATGATTCATATTTCCTTCTCCATATCCTGTATGACAGTCGTTCTATCTAGTATAAGGTGGTATTTCTCCTTATATCACTCTTTAAACATATGACAGAGACCTAAATTTGGTCCAGCGGTGTAGCATGGCCAAAAGTGTAACCTAGAAAGAGATATGGTAACCTGGTGCCTCTTGGTTTCACTTGATTCATTGTAACTTATCTTTGCGCTATATGGCTGCTGCGTGCAGCTAGCTTCGGCCACCGCGGCACCCTTGAGAAAGACTTGCGTTCGAAGTTTAATCTTTCACTGCCAGCCGCACCTCTATCATATAAACTACTTCTATCCTCCGGAATCCTCCCAATCGTAACTAATCACTAGTACAGCAATCATCTTCGCTAGAAACTCTCAATGGCCGCCTTAGGAACCCATACAAGCGATGCCAGCAATCTCAACACAGGGATCTCCCTAAATCGCGACTTTCCACAACCCCAAGTCCATCAGACTCCCCAAGAAATGATAACACTTAGCCCGCACAAGTAATTAATGATTAGCCAGGGAGAACTGAAGAATGTGTAAGGTTCGAACCTCCGTCGGAATCACTCATCATCGCCAAAAGACAATTTGACGGCCTTTTTGGCCTTCCCACCCGGGTTTCCTTTCTTTCCCTTCCCGGCCCCTTCCTTCCCATTCCTCTTATCAATATCCCCATCCTTTTCCACAATTTTATCTTCATCGCCATCACCAATTATCCTTGCAACCTTCCGCCTTCTCCCCTTCCCACCAATCTCTGTGATGTTCACCTTCTCGGCTGCCGGCTTCTTCTGCTGGGGGATTTCGACACCGCCCTCCTCCTCCCCCTCCCTCCTTTCTACAAGTTCCCCACTATTCATGGCCTCAAACTCCTTCCTCGACAGCGTCTCCCCAGACCCTTCGTCAAGCACATATGTAGGCGCATCATCATCTTCGTCCGTAGGCCGTTTCTTGTTCCGCGGCGCGATGTATCGTTCTGGACCGCCGCCGCCACCGGAATGCTGCTGCCGGAGCCGCCGAAGGAAGGCTGGTTCCTCCATTTCTATAGTGCAGTATTAGCATCAATTCAGTATTCTGTGAGGGGAGAATGGTGGATACCGTATGTGAGGTTTCTGGGGCCTTTGGACATGTTTGCTTGAGGAGTTCAATTGGAAGAGTTGTCTCTTTTTTTTTTTTGGATAGCGATGTTGAAAGAAGTTGTTACTGTAACGTGCCGATGCTGAAGATCAGTTGGTTGGGTTGAACAAAGTCTTGGCGGGGTATTGTCGAACTCAGCCAACCCCGCAGGATGGACCTGCAGCTGCGAGGGAGAACCTGCTGCACATTCCATGAACGTGCTTGATAGGGGGCAAGTAAGGAGCACAGCAAAATCATTTGTTTTTTTCACCTCCACTTCTCCTAAGGTTCTAATTCAAATATTATCGGATTCGAGACCTCCATGCTTGATAACAGTATCGCGATACAAGTACCATACCATACAATCTCATACCATCAGGTAGCTTGGCCTGCCTTCTTTCGACGGCTGACCCTAATAATATTGTCCATCACGGAAACTACATTGAGGGGACTCTGCTATTACCTGAATGCCGGTATGCACCCTAGTTCCACCTGCGTGGTCAGACTCGCTTTTAGGCCTTTCTTCTCTCTTTTTCTTCTCCCCTTTTCTACTATAGACCCCGGCGATATCATACGATATGCGCTGCTACGGCAGAAGGGATATGAGAAAAAAATTCAAATTAGTCTTAGCATGAATCATAACATCTCACTCAAGCCAAAGCTCGCCTCCCTGGTACCGGTACTATCACTACTCACACATTGCTCAATTGTAAAAAAAATGCGCCTGCAAATGATTATAATGATAATAATAATATTATTATTATTTACTTCTATCATAATTAGTTACATGTTTGCCCTTGAGAAAACTCTAATTCCTTAACCCTCGCCTCTCCTTCAACCCTCTAACCCAAGGAACGTATAAAACCTATCAATGCAACAAACATAACCTACCCTATGGCCCAATCTATCTCCAGCACAATCTCACAGCGACACCTTATCGTAAAACCACCACATATGTCGACAGCCTCGTCCTCTCCAGGTAACCTTACCATCCACCATCCCCCTCCATTTCTCCTGCTTCCCATGCTACATCGAATGTCCAACAGCAATCAAGGTATTGTAGTTCCCGGCATGCAAAACGCCCCGATACAAGACGTCTCAGAAGGAAATAAAGAAAATCTCCCCCTTTGGTTAGTCGAAGCCTCGACACCCCTCTGGGAGAGCGGTCAAACCGACCTCTACATTTCCTCCAACGGTGTAACTGTCCGCGCCCGCACCCTTGCCGAACCGAAGCGCACAGGGACTCTTAAAAAGAGCGACCCCAATCTTGCAGAAGCCCTCTCTCGACTGAATATGTATGGGCGCGGAGGCACTCCCCACGCCGCAACGGTTCCAAATACCCGCCCCCGTCAACGCAGCAAACTCCCCGACCGTTTTACCACTAGCACTTTCGACGTATACGAAGATCCAGGAGAAGTAGCAGCATCTAAGCCAGAATGGGAATCTGTCCCTTTAAGCCCCGGGGTAGTAGAGTTGCTCCAATCGTGTGACCACGCACCCGAGGCCACAATCCTTGTCAGAAGGAGGGCTGCTAGTTTTCCGGGAAAGAAAGGCGAAAGCATTGATGCCGCTGGTAACTACGAGAGAATTGCGAATCCACCCACAGTGCCGGCCCGAATTGCGCTCAGTCCTGTTGTGGATAGCCCGCCTCGGGAAGTGGAAAACCCGATTCGCGGGATTATGGAACGTCGCTGCATATCATGGGGCCCGCTAAGTCTGGTAAATAAGCTCCTTCTATTCTTCGTTTACAGCAACCCCCCGGCCTAAGACTAACATTATTATGCAGGCAAAAAGCTCACCCTCGGAGCCATGCGTTAATTCAGGAGAACCAGAGACATAAGGTGTTACCTATAAAGGGAAAAACAATATCCTTCTAATGTGGCTATGATGTGCCTTTTATCAAAATAATCTGTGTTGATCATATGGTTCGGCTGTTTGTACCGTTCCCAACTTCAACCTCAGCCCACAAACCCATGTCACCAAAACAATCCGTACTTCACCAACAATAAACCATACACCGCTCTTTACGTGAAGTGTAGGATCTCTAATGACATTCTGATTCCGTTAGGGGGTCGAGGAGCTTCTACCACAAAATAAAAAAGCTGTTACTAGTAGAATACTTTTAGGAAATACTTAGACATCTATCACTGCACGCTCCGTCAGGGGTTAGGAC